GCAAATACACTTGGTTCACCATATGGAACCGCTTCTCCGGTAACCCTTAATCCTGAAACAGGGTCGATATACGGTCCTGAATTCCCCTCAACTACACCTCGAGATGACGTAAGGTATTTGTTATTAGGTGTGAAGTGTCTTTAAAGGAGATATTCATGATAGGTGTATTTTTCGTTCGACGAACAAAAGGCTTCACAGGATTGTTCTCGATAGTATGAATGTAAAAAAAGTAGCAATATGCATTGGTGGATCCATGGGCGGTATGCAAGCATTGGAGTGGTCATTCTTTGGGCCCGATTATGTTAAAACTATTGCACCAATTGCTACCTCGGCGAGGCTGTCAGCTTGGTGTATAAGCTGGAATGAAGCTCAAAGACAATCTATTTACAGCGACCATCAATATTGTAAGTAATTTTTTTTAACAATTATGGTCTTTTACAGTAAAATGGAATTTCTAATTCTAGCTTATTTTTAGGTGATGGATATTACAAATCAGACGAGGTATTTCTTGAAACCTTTGTTAGTTAATTTATCAAATGGGCATTTCTTATTGCTTTACTCGTCTCTGTATAGACTCCTGACACAGGCCTTGCGGCGGCTCGCATGTCGGCACTTTTAACATATCGCTCTCGAGATTCCTTTGAATCACGATTTAGTCGTAAGCTTCAGGAGCCAAAAAAATTGCAGGACGTTAATGGCCATAAATCAACACCGGCTGAGAAGGCCTTGCTTATTCATAATGAAGGTCATAAAAGTAAAAATAATGAGCATCTGCGTTCAAAAAGGCAAGGAAATCATATTGATAATAACGAGTCACGTGACGAAAATCACTTGACATCAGCTATATCGCATACATTTTCTGCACAGTCATACCTCCGATATCAAGGTGACAAATTTGTGAAAAGATTCGATGCTAATTGCTACATTAGTCTCACTCGTAAGATGGATAGTCATGATATATCGAAGGGTAGAGGAAGTGTAGAGGATGTATTGAAAAGTATTAAGCAACCCACATGTGTATTTGGTGAGTGTTATCATTTATGCGATATTTTAACAGCAGGCGTAACATATAACTTTTTTATTTAATAAAGGGATTGAATCAGATGGTCTCTTCACGATTTCGGAACAATATGAATTGGCGAAACACATTCCGATTTCTAAGATGATCACCATCGCTTCACCAGATGGTCACGACGGTTTTCTTCTTGAATTCGATCAGATGAATCAACACATCCTTCAATTTATTCGGGAGTATCTGCCTGAAATCAGCGAAAAAGAACATTATGGTGTAGACACGGTATCAATAGAGGTGGTTAAAGATAGTGTTTTTGGAGAATTAGAAGACAAGGATATGATAAAATGGTAGAAGAGCAACAAAAATGGGTTATCATCCATCTTAAGTTTATACCCATATTATTAAAACTGTGTTTACATTACAAAGTGTGTGTGAATGAATGAATGAATGATTTGAATTGAATCGTTAATTTTCATAATTTCTGCGCAACTTCGGATTTCATTTACGAAAAAATTCGAGGATATTTTTAGCAAGGATCATTTCTCGGTTGGCAACTTTTTACGTTTTTTATTTATTTCATCGTGGATTTTATGGACATGAATATCTGCCAAACCTGTTCAAAAAGTTGATATGGATTTCTACCACACCAAGTATGCAATTATGCGTTTACATGAGTTAGAAGTTCTTTGTAGTGTGAAAAAGCAATGATGGAGAATAAGAGAATCCGCGGCGAAAAAAGGAAAAAGAAATTATTCGACATTTTCAATTTTCACTTTTGTTCCCTTTGTAAAATTGACATCCTCATTTGGGCTGGCCCTTTTATGTTTATCGAAATTACTATAATTCAACAAAGGGACGTATTGAACTTTTCGCAATTTCTTCTTCGTTTTTGATCTGTTGCTAACGTCAAGAATGAAAAACTATTTTATATTGATTATTATTCACGCATGTTATATTGGTAGAATTCTTTTTTACGCACCTGATGTTTGTGTTTTTTCTCGCCTTCACCCATCGCAAACAAATGTCGACGTGCGAATTGACACGTAACAGTGTGGGATTATTAAAATTTTTTTGACAAACTGGACAGTCCCAATTTGTGTTAAGTCGAGTATTATCATCAGAAT